ACTAACCAGAAGGAGCGAACTTAACACCCTCAACACATTGGAAAGACAGACCCTGGAAGGACTGAGGAAGGACAAGAACATCACAATACTGCCGCAGACAAAGGGCGCATGACAGTGATACTGAATAAAAGGGACTACATCTCCAAGGCACAGGCACTGCTCGCCGACGAGAGCACATACCGACCAGTACAAACTGACTTGACACCGCAACTAGGCAACAAAATCCTCTGCACGCTAAAAAGACTCAAACAGACTGGACAGATCAACAAAGCAGACTTCTTAAGAATGAAACCTAAAGGAACCAACACACCCCGATTCTACGGCCTCCCAAAAGTCCCCCTCAGACCCATAGTCTCCCTACCAGGCACTCCATCGCACAGATTAGCCAAGGAACTACAAAGGAGACTCAGGCACCCAGTCAACAAATCACCTCACTCTATCCACCCAGCCCAAGAATTCCTCAACTCCATCAAAGACATAAGGATAGATGACGAGGAGACCAAGATATCGTTTGATGTCACTGTCCTATTCACATCAATAGACATACCACTAGCAAGGGAAACAATGACAACACTACTGGAACAAGAGCAAGACCCCAGTGAAACCATCTCCACAGACAACATGCTCAAACTACTGGACCTATGCCTCACCACCCACTTCACTTTCAACGGCCAAACATATGAACAAATCAACAGGACACCCATGGGACCACCTATCTCCGGACTCATAGCAGAGGCAGTAATGCAAAGACTTGAAGGGACGGCCCTTCCACTAATCCAACCAAAACTACGGATATGCAACGTGGACGACACCTTTGTCATCATTAAACGGACCAAACTAGAGGAGACACACAAACTTATAAACAACACCCTCGCCGGAATAAAATTCACCAGAGAGGAGAACAAACAATTCCCTTCCTAGACGTCATGGTAGAGCGCAAGACAAATGGGGAACTGCAAACGAAAGTACACAGAAAAGCCACACACACAGACCAGGTACTGAACTTCAACAGTAACCATCCTAACACACACAAACGAAGCTGCGTGCGAACACTATTTAAACGGGCAACAACATGGAACTACGCCAAGAGGAAGAAGAATACCTCTTCCAGGTTTTCAAGGATAATGGATATCCAAAAAACTGGGTCAGAAGATGCCTACAAGAACAACATCAGGAAGATACTACACGCCGCAACATACTCATCAAGCTACCCTTACACCAGGAACACATTGAAACTAACCACAAGATTCCTACGACCGCTGGGCATCCGAATGGCACATAAGCCCACATCAACCCTACGACAACTGCTCACCCAAACTAAAGACCCACTTCCTGCCATGGACAGGACCAATGTCATCTACAAGATCCCTGCGAAACATTACATCGGACAAACAGGAAGGAAACTTAACAAGGGTACACGAACACCAACTGGCTACAAAAAGTCACGACCAATACTCACTCATCTCAATCCACATGAATAAGGAGAACACCAATTCGGCTGGGGCAACACCAAAATCCTGGGACAGGCTCAGCAGCGACAGGCACAGGAATTCCTAGAAGCCTGGCACTCCACGAAGAAAGCCATCAATAAACACATAGAACTCGACCCCATATACACTCCAATACAAATGAAAACCGGAAGTGAGGTAATCCAGCTCAACGGACTCCAGAGTTTAAAAACCAGGCGGGAAAACACAACGGCGCTTCATCGGAGGCTGCACTGATGATGTTACCCAGCAGGGAAATGAAACGTCTACGGAACAACAAACCAGCTCGGCGAGCGAACCCATCACAACAATCTCTTTCTCTCTCTCGTGTTCCCTTCTCTCTCTCTCTCCTCTTTATACAGAGAGTGGTGGGTGTGTCGAATGTACTGCCGGCAGTGGTAGTGGACTCAGATACTTGAGAAACTTTTAAGCGACTCTTGGATAGGCACATGGAGGATAGTAAAATGTAGGGTATGCAGGGTAGTTTGATCTTAGTAGGATAATAGGTCAGCACAACTTCGTGGGCTGAAGGGCCTGTACTGTGCCCTATGTAATATAGTAACCTGCCGACAGGAAACCCATTACAGCCGTGGGGATAAGAGGTGGCTCTTTACAGGGGATTGAGTGTCCGCAAGGTTATGGCTGAAATGAAAAAAGGATGAGCCTTATTTTCTGATGCTTAGAATGAGACTGGTTCAGCATTTTCGACCAATGGAGTACAGTTTGCTCTTCATTTACATAACGATTCATAGAATCCCTACAGTGTGGATCAGGCCATTCAGTCCATCAAGTCCACACTGACCGTATGAAGGGCATCCCAACCAGCCCCACCCCATCCCTCTAACTCTGCACATCCCCATGGCTAACACACCGAGCCTGCATATCCCTGGGCAATATGGGACAATTCAGCACGGCCAATCCACCCTAACCTGCACATCCCTGGCACTAGGGGACAATTTAGCACGGCCAATCCAACCTAACCTGCACATCCCTGGGCACTACGGGACAATTTAGCACGGCCAATCCACCCTAACATGCACATCCCTGAACACTACAGGACAATTTACACGGCCAATCCACCCTAACACGCACATCCCTGGGCACTACAGGATAATTTAGCACGGCCAATCCACTCTAACCTGCATATTCCTGGGCACTACAGGACAATTTAGCATGGCCAAAGCACCATAACCTGCACACCCCTGGGCATTACGGGTAATTTAGCATGGCCAATCCACACTAACCTGCACATCCCTGGGCATTCTGGGTAATTTAGCACAGCCAATGCACACTAACCCGCACATCCCTGGGCACTCTGGATAATTTAGCACGGCCAATCCACACTAACCTGCACATCCCTGGGCATTATGGGTAAATTAGCATGGCCAATCCACCCTAACCTGCACATCTCTGGGCATTATGGGTAACTTAGCACGGCCAATCCATCCTAACCTACACATCCCTGGGCACTATGGGACAATTTAGCACGGCCAATCCACCCTAACCCGCACATGCCTGAACACTCTGGGCAATTTAGCATGGCCAATCCTTCCTAACCTGCACATCCCTGGGCACTATAGGACAACTTAGCACGGCCAATCCACCCTAACCTGCACATCCCTGGGCATTCTGGGTAATTTATCACAGCCAATGCACACTAACCTACGCATCCCTGGGCATTTTGGGTAATTTAGCATGGCCAATTCACACTAACCTGCACATCTCTAGGCATTATGGGTAATTTAGCACAGCCAATCCACCCTAACCCGCACATCCCTGGGCACTCTGGATAATTTAGCACGGCCAATCCACACTAACCTGCACATCCCTGCGCATTATGGGTAATTTAGCATGGCCAATCCACCCTAACCTGCACATCTCTGGGCATTATGGGTAACTTAGCACAGCCAATCCACCCTAACCTGCACATCCCTGGGCAATATGGGACAATTTAGCACGGCCAATCCACCCTAACCCGCACAATCCTGGGCACTATGGGACAATTTAGCACGGCCAATCCATCCTTACCTGCACATCCCTGGGCCCTACGGGGCAATTTAGCACGGCCAATCCACCCTAACCCGCACATCCCTGGGCACTATGGGCAAATTTAGCACGGCCAATCCATCCTAACCTGCACATCCCTGGCACTAGGGGACAATTTAGCACGGCCAATCCACCCTAACCTGC